TTTTTTTTTTTTTTTTTTTTTTTTGAACTGGTCGGCAGACCGCCGACCGGTCGGCCCAACTGGTCGGCTGCAATACGGTCGGCGGTCGGGGTTGGCGGTCGGCAGGGATGCAACCCTGCTGGTGGACATAACCTTATATACAAGTTAATGGCTCTCTCTTGTGTCTGTGTGTCTCTCCGCCATAAAACGGCGACTAGCTCTCAAGCCACAACGCAGCTACCAAGGAGACATGTTCCCAACGCCCCAAAACTGAAAATGCGGCGCAGTGAAAATGAAGATACGAACCCGACACGGCCCAAAAGAATTGTTTCCCCGGTGCCATCTTCGACTCTGGATCTGCAAATTTGCAAAATCAATAACGGGCCCCTGGCCTAAAAGAAAGTGTTCCCCTATGCGATCTTCAACCCGGGGATCTGGGAAGTTAATAATGGGCCCCCAGCCTACGGAACGCTCACAATAACCACTTGGACCGTAGAACTTTCGGAACGTTGTTTTTGCTGGGCCCATTGGGAGCATCTTCCTGGGACTGGCTTACAATTTAATAGTTACCCTGGTGTCAAAAAGGCAATTAAGTAGTAACGGATAGAGTTCAAGATGGGGGCTGTGTTCTGTCGAGGATGCAAGCCATTATAGTACCTCCCATGCCCGGCCTAGCATGTGTGCTGCGGTGGACACAAGCGCTAGCTCCCCATGCCCGATGCTCAGAAAAGTTCCAAGTCGCTTGTGAAGACGGAACCTACTATAGAGCATGGAGTACTCAGAAAAATCTGAAAAGAGAGGTTAGCACCAGAATCAGGAAAACTTATTTGCAATGCGTTCGGTATGTTTTGATCAGCGGTCCTTGGGCAGAGTTCTTTTCTTTCTTTTTTTTCTTTTTTTTTACCTGTGTTGTGGTATATAATATATATTTATTAGTCTTACATCTTTGTAAGAACCGTTTGTCTATGTCAGAAGTACAAGCTCTATCAGCATCCATGTATATAAAGGATGAACTTTCAAAGTTTCTAATATCGGAATTTCTGAACTTGCCCTGGGCTACCAACCGAGCCGCCTGGGCCACCTTCGCTGCCCAGGCGGCCTGGCCGGGAAAGGGCCAAGCAAGGTGCTGGAGGGGGCGGGAGGGGGGGGGATTCTTCAAAGAAACTATGTTATGGCAGTATGCAGAATAATAAACTAAGGAACTTTTTTTAACTTTAAAAAAAAATAAAAAAATAATAATAAGGACGATGACCTTGAGATATCATCTTTGAACTGACCAGTGCCTGGGTAAATTCAGAGTTATTTTTCACTCATCGGATGCCATTGGGATTCGAACTCAGGTCTGCATTTCAACAATTCGTAGGTGTACCAACTGAGCTAGGCCATTCGGTAATTAGACAACTTTTACCCCGGGGTGACACCGAAATTCTTTACCAAATCGGAAATAAAACATTAAAATAAAATGAACTTGAATAAAGAGTATTAAAGACGTTTTCTTTGTTCTTTTTTTTTCCCCCTGCCCGGCCGAGTAAGTGGTCCCGGGCCACTTTGATAGCCTTGAATTGGCCAATTGATAACAAAAGGTGTTGCAGGTGCTGAATATGTCATCAGCTAATGAAGGTCAGAGAACGTTTCGTAGTATTCGTACGCAAAAGGGAAAAGAAAAACCGTCAAGTGATAGCCGGGATTATATTTATACTGTCCACTGCTGAACAGAACACGCGGTCATCGTAAGTGTATGGAGGGCGATATTTGGGCCAGATGCAGCTATAATGGCCATGTGCGAGCCTCCAAGCCTTGGCGTGCGCAAAGAAGGGGCTGTCCATGACAACTTCACTCGTCCCTAAGTGAAGCCTGGAGCACCCAGAAATCAGCCATCCCTAAGCGAAGGCTGGCATGATACCTTTGGAAAGGAAGTTGTTTGCTGTCAAGTCAGGACAATCCTTCCCTTCACACAAATTAATGATTCAGCCTGTTAGATTGACCGCATCGTAGATCAGGCTGAACTTCAGAGCCAATAGGACGGGGAGATCGAGTGAACAGCTTAACGTCATAGAAGAGGATAGGTGGTTCCCCAAAGATCAAGTTCATGAGACCACACCTCGCATTGTTTCTCACACTATGAGCCAGCACGTACAGGGATCTGTCAATTTGGCAGGTAGAGAGCGATGTGCATACTACTTGTGATGCATCCGTCGCCGTTTCCACGTGATGAACCATTTTCTAAACCGCCAGTACATCTCCCCAGGCAACTTGAGAGAATGAGTGTTTCACACCTAAAACTTTGGAGGCTCGGGGCTAACGGACCACAATGGGTGCGCCGCTGGCGGTTCGGCAAAGCTTGGCATGCAGTGCGAATCCGCCACAGCAAAAGAGGCTCGGTTCTACTTGTCCTTTAAGCAAAGTTTTGATACGTGTCTATGCTTTGAGCTGAAGAGAATAGCTCATGGGAAACCGATGCCGCGAAATTCCTATAGCCTTTTAAGCCTTGGTGATTTCGCAAAGCAGTTTCAGCGCAAGTAGTTCTTGGAGGACCTCGAAATTAGGCCGGCAGGAATGAAAGGGTTCACGCACCACACCAGTCCAGGCCCGGTAGCGCAGTGCTGTGTCCAACTTTCTTTTGTATCATATGGCTGCGCTTAGAACTTTCCAGTAGGTACGAGTAGGATAAGTCCCTAGTAGTCACTAGGTACTAGGTAGAGAGTCGCCACGCGTCCAGTCCTGGTCAAGTCGCAGCTCAGTCCCAGTGCAAGACCTAGGGACGGTCCGAATCTCTGTAGGCTTCTGCAAGGGCCGACAGGACTGTCAGCCCAGCCAGTGGAGGTCCCTGCGTGTGCAAAAAGAGGGAGGCCGCTGCCAGTAACCTTGTCTTCTTCGATTCTGGCTTGAGTGCGATGCTTGCACAAGTTTGGAGCAGCAAAGGCGAGGAAACAAGATCTTGCTCAGTAGAGGCAGGACCTTTTCACAATACTCTCTGTGGCTTGAAAGACTAGCTTCTGATATCTCTGTCCTCTTTTGTTTTTCGTTTCCTTTCTTTTTGTGGTCGGTTTGCGGTGTTGAATTTGCAGATTCCATCTTGAAAAAGTACTCCTCGACTGTGGCCACCATCTTCACAGGACTTGCATCTGCAGCGCTTTTCGGCCATTCGTTGACAATCAACTTCATCCTCGGAATATCAATTGTGTTCATTTCTATGCATCAGGTGCTTTCCTCCATCTGTTTTGAACTTTTGACCTATTTCATCAATATCTATGGCTCAGTTTCTTTGTGCTGACTGTCGTGCGCAGCATTTGTCTGCCTCCATGATGTTCCTTCTGCTGACTATTGGCAGTGGCTATTGGCAGTGGCTATAGGCACTGGTGATCTGCCCTGGCTATAAGCAATAGGTGGCAAATTTGGCTATTGCTGCCAGCTAGTAGCAATGGCTATTGGCAATGTAGCTATTGCTGCTGACTGTTCCTGCTGGTTATTGGTGCTGGCTATTGCTGTTGGCTATTGGCTCTGGCTATTGGCACTGGCTATTGGCACAACACTGGCTATCTGCACTGGCTATTGATGTTGGCTTCTGGCACTGGCTTATGGTCATGCTATTGCTCCTGGCTATTGGCAGTGGGCTTACGGTAATGCTCTGGCCATTGGCAGCCTACGCCTCACTCATATAGCATTAGCACATGCAATTTGGAAAAAAGTGGGCGTGATATTCAGTTACTGAATTCTTGCCCTCCATGACTTCCTCTCCTCCACCCACCTGTTGTACCCCTTGCTCTTGCGCAAGAACTTTCCTTTTTTCGCCATGTGCACTGAATTCTTAGTATCTTTTCCCTCCATGACTTCCTCACCTTTACCCACCTCTGTTGTACCCCTTGCTCTTGCCCAAGAATTTTCCTTCTCTCTGTGTACGGCACTGTACGCTGAATTCTTAGTATCTGTTCCCTCCATGACTTCCTCACGTCTACCCACCTGCTGTACCTCTTGCTTTTAACTTCTCATTATGCCATTGTGCCAAACACATCAGTAAGTCTCATGACGTCTTCCCCCGAACTTCTGCCCAACTGCTTGTTACTATGTTTGTGGAACTTTGTGCTACATTTAGCAAGATCCTACTGTATCTTCGTCCGAACACAGCACACCCTCATCATGACTGTGAAAGAAACTGCATCAGCTTATAGTAGTTATTTGACTGATTTTTCCAAAAACCAATAATAATTACTATAACCGTATAATGGAAAGAGCGGGTCTCGCGTAATGCTCCCTGGAGAACCGCTCGACGCGTGTGAAAAACTGGCATGGGGCAATTCCTATTTCATGGGGCAATTCTGGTCCAATGCTTTAGAAATTGTCAAACCTCAACTTCTGTCCATGCACAGCACTCAAACAAACTGAAGTGAAGGCCAATCTTGAAGATGGTCATTGGAGAAAAGCTTTACACCAAGCTCATATTGAACAAGCACGCCAGCCAGCACACTTGGTAAAAATTAAACAAGGGGATGCCCACTTGAGGGCTAGGCTTCACTGAGCAGTTTGCAACAAACGGCGCTCAAACTGTGCAGTATAGAGCGAGAACACACTGGCTATGGCTGCGCCCAAACCCTCTCCTTTAGCTGCCAAGATTGGCGCTGCTCTGCTGCTGCTCCTTTCGATCGACCAAAAATCACGAACTGAAAATGAATGAACTGTACTCCTAGCTTGTCACTTTTTACTATGCCAATTTTGCCCGGGCCTACAGTCCTGCCGGGTTGTGGCCTAGAGAATTCTAGTGGTCTAGGTCCTATAGGGTCCTAAGTGTACAAGATCAGCTACCAGTGTGCTTACTTGGAGGTCTGAGGTCCGGATCTGACGGGCAGCAAACTTAGAAAACAGAAATAAAACCACTTGTTTTCGCTTCATATTAGTATCTTGTCTTGGTTTCAAATCCCTCTTAGCCCAATGCTCCCTTCGCCTCAGTTTGAAGTCCCTTGAGAACCTATTAACAAGTCTGCAAACTGAGACCAGACTCGAGGAATAATACAGTCATCTAGTATGTTATGATCATGGCCAATTTCGAAGTACACATTCATCAGAAAGTACAATGCCGTCCAGTTGCAAAAAGAAATGAATGAACTTGAGAGGAGAGAGAGGGAAAGAAGAAGAAGAAGATGAAAGACAGAAGAAGAAGAAGAAGATATGTACACCATCAAAGACCAATGAGAATTCCCTTCTTCTTCGCCAACCACTCTCCTCCTCCGCATCTCCTCCCCTCTTATTCAAACAAGAAATATTAATAATAATATTGAATGGCTGAACCAGAATCGATATCCAAATCCCTCTCCTACTGCAGGCATCACATGAGGTCCACCATAGCCATGGCCACTCTTCTTCCTCCTCCTTCCACGGCCGAGGCTATGGTGGACTACGAGGGCACCGCCCTGCTGTGCAAAGGACAACACGAAGCAGCTATGGCTGCTCTAGCTCAGGCTGCCATGCCTGACTCTGCCTCGAGGCTTCTTGGTGTAGCTCTACCCCAACGGGGGACTTCCATATGTAGCACCCACCAAGGTGATGAAGATGTCATCTACCATAGCCAGGGAAGTACCTCTGGCGGAGACTGGCGCTCCTCCCTCCTAGTCCTGGTCTTCTTCCTCCTCCCGTCCTTGCTCCTCCCCAGCAGCGCTGCTCTTGATGCTAGCGCTGCTCCAGCCTCATGTTGAACAGATTGAAGGGTCTGAATGGCTTGTGACGGGTGTTGTTGCTGTGGTCTATTGGTTTGCAGTTCTTCTCTTCTGCAGCTCAGCCGTTAAAGCTGAAGGATGAAGGGAGGGTGTCATTTGGGTCGTCGGTGCCACCTGCCTCCCTGAAGTAAGTTCCTTTGACCTCTCATACTGGATCCGGCATTTTGATTGCTTCAGATCCTGTGTTTTTGACGGTGTATATTCGATGTGTCGAGTTTCAACTTACCTGTGCTGAGGCTGTTTCAGAGGGTGTATGAACCCCTCTGTTTTGAGTTCATCTCACCTAATTCTGTTGTGCCGACTCAGTGCCACCTGCTTCCTTGAAGTAACTTATCTTGCGTCTGTATCCTCTAGTAATGGAGCCTGCATTTTGATTGTTTGAGATTCTGTGTTTTCAATGGTATAAATACTGTGTTGAGTTTGAACTTACTTATGTTGAGGCTGTTTCGAAGGGGTATGAATCGTTTGTTTTGAGATCGTCTCACCTGTGTCTATCATGTTGATGGCTGTTCCTTTCTGCGAGTTTCAGAGCTTATATGTCCTCTCTTGAGGCTGTCTCAGAGTGTACTTCGTGTGTACATATCCTCTGTTTTGAGTCCGTCTTACCCACCTGTCATGCGAACCTGTTTGTTGATGGTCATACCTTTTGGCGAGACCCCAGGGACTGCATACTGAATAGCACGGCATGCTGAGAGGCCGCACTCGTCAAGGGTGGATAGAGCATTTGGCCAGAGCTCCATGCTCAGCTTGGTTCGCACAACAAGAGCTTAGGTGCATACAAGGCTTTTGTCATCCCTAAAGTATTTGGCGTTGGGCCGTCAACAATGTCTTTTGGGGTTCCTGGGGTGTAACCTCAGCGTCATGCTCACGTACAAGTCGGAGCATGATGCTAGTCGGAGCATGATGCTGACATACAACCTTCACATGTGTGAGGAGATGTGTGTGGTGAAGGCATGTTTTGCATCCACGAATGAGGTAGTGTGTGCAGGCCATCCCATACTACTGCCTGCAATACATAGCCGTTTCCAAAAGTAAGAGCAAATGTCACTATCATAGACGAATTCCCCTGTTGCACTTCCAGACAACCTCAGGACACGAGGTGGGTGAAGCTGAACGCGCAAGCAATTTCAGTCTTCTTCAGTACCTGTGGCTATAAAGGAGGAAAACAAAGTATTGCTTATGCTGCTCGGATTGTTGGTACTGAACTTTGAAGATGAAATGAAGCAACAGAAAGATCAAAATACTGTGCAAGGTAAAATTATGATGAGTGGATTTGGTAAAGGCCTTTCTCTGCTTGTGCTTCACGTGTGTCATGGTGTGAATGCGGTCGCGCTCAGTTTGTCATGCTGTTCAGTTGCATGGAAGAAGGAAAAAAACAGCATCCTTGCTCTCTGTGGAACGGGTAGAAGCACTGAAGCAAAGATCCGAACACTCCAGGAGTCCAAACGCTGAGTAATGTGCTCATGTTGAGAAGACACGACATGACCCTTCATTGCCGCAGGCCAGGTTCGAGCCGTGAGGGCAGTGGGATTCCAATTGCTTGGAAAGGGAAATTCGTCAGTCAGTGCGGAAGTTCTATATCTGTTAGGGAGAAAGACAGTGAATAGGGAAGTTGTATGTGAGGCAGGCATGCAACTGGAGGTCACAGGCAGGCAGCAGCCCCGTGGAAAAGAGAGAAAGCTCAAGCTTTGGAAAGATGCAGCCTGTGTGGGAAAAGTTGTCTGCAAAGCAGATCTGGGTCTGTGAAAAATTATGGGCCTTATGGGCCTGGCTCCTTTTCCATTCTGGGGAGCGTCAGTCCGGTTCTTATCCCCCTGCCAAGTCAAGATTGAATACAATATGAAAACACGCTCACGCTTCCTTCCGTATGGCTCGAGGACCCCTGACCAGCATTCATTGCTCCTCTGAAGGAGGATTGACTGTCAGCTTGCCCTATCCACTTGAACCTCTCAGGTTCCCTTCTCGGGCTTGTCAAATAAACCTATTCAAACAAGACAAGTGGGAGGATTCGCCTCCAGATACAACTCTTGAGTCTCATTCCTCTCCAAGGCACTAGACTAATACCCTTGTTGCTCAGCATAGAACACTGTAGTCCACGACGGAGCTATTCCATCGGTCGTGAGGTGTCTTGACCTTCTCCTATCTCCTTACGAGTTGCTCCAGTCCCTTCCACCGCATGTAGGAGTCCTTTATCTCTGCAACTTTTCCATCCACCAGCCAGATCTTGGTGAACTTCGACAGAACTCTGCGCTGTTGGTGCTCCTCGTCTGGTAGGGAAAGTCTTGTCTTGTCCCCGTGCATAGAATCTCTGCCTGGATCAAAGTCTTTGTTTCTGCGCACACCTTTTCCCTTGAAATTGACGTGCCCTCAATCGTCCTGCAGCATCTTTCCTTCCAGATGGTCCACATTGTCACCTTCCTGATCATTCCAAACCCGATCTTCTCTGTCTTGTGCAGATGGGTGGGGATGTTAGTCCATAGGAGAAGTTGGAAGGGGTGTAATATATCGTCAAACAGAACTGCCGACGGTAAACCTTCGGCAGAGAGGGAGATGAGAACAACAAACAAGGGGCTGTGACAGACTGTCTCGTCGGTGTTTCACCGACTCATCAGAGGCTTAACCCTCTACAGTCTGCAGAATCCCGTGATGATCATAGAGAACTCGGTGAACCATAGGCAGAGAGGGAGAAGAGGACAACAACGAGGGACTGTGCAGACTGTTTCATTGGAGTTTCACTGACTCGTCAGGAGGCTGAACCCTCTACGGCCTCTAGAGTCCTCTTGCTGAACCCCGGTTGCGGTTATAAGCATCAACGACTGCCCGACAACTCGTACCCTGAGGTGCGCAACAACCACTGCCCTCGAGGGACCTGTGCGGAAGAACAACGCAGACTATCACTCACCCACACCAGACGCAAAACTCTAGGGACTGCAGGTTCGCAACTTCGCACCCATCACAAGCCAGCAAAACCCCCACAAAACAAAGAAAGGTAAGGGGGAGTTAAAGAAGAATGAGAAAAATGAATGGTTTCAGTGTGCCCCCCGTGTTGGTCTTTTTGTTTTTTTTTTGTTTCACGAAGTACGCTTTTTCAGTTCATAGATATGTGACAATATATATGGTATCATCGTGCAAAGCCATGGCAAAAGGTTTGCGTGTAAGAGTGTCTATGTTGTGATGACTGATGCAGTGTTTTGCTGCCCCTCTGGTTTTCTTTTTTTCCCGCTATTCCCTGCCTTCCCGCTGTGTGTTTCCTTTTCGTGTCTGGCATGTCTGCATTTATTCCTTAGGTCTTTCCTACGGGAGCCATCGTCTACAGGAATGGAGTCTGGTGTCATGCTTGATGAGGTACGTATCGCTGTTGCACGATCCCTGTTCACACCTGTTATGACTACTTATTAGCTAGGTTTTTTTGGGGGTGGGGGGTTGGTTGTTAGAGAGGTCCATATCCCATGTGTACAGTTCATGTTATGTTTTTGAAAGACGAGTTTCTCATTCCAAGGATGAACTCTGGTTGTCCATTGGGGATTTGGGCTCTCTAAAATGATGGTACATTCTATCGGGGTGAAGACGGGTGAAAAAATTGAATCTACAAACAGGTTTCTTGGTCTGCGTTGCCGGTGGTCTTATATGGTGGAACTCTTTCCCACCCACCGTTTTTAGCTTCGATTTTTTTCGTACCAACCAACACTGAGCTAAATTTCTTCACCGACAAGCCATCTAATCTGTAGGGTATTTGATCGGGGCTTGACGGTCGGGCTGCTCCCCTCACAGCCCTATAGGGAGGGGTGATGTTGGCCATGGAGAAAGCAGTCGTCAGCATAAGCACCATCAGAACTAAACCAGCAGTCGGGTTGTATATGGCCCTTTTTATTGTTTTTGTTTTTTTTGTTTTTTTGTTTTGCAAGCAGAACCTTATGGTTTTGGCTCCTTTCCATTCTGCGGAGCAACAGTCCAGTTCCTATTCCACCACCGGCATGCAAAAAAATACATAAAGAAACTCACGCACACTCCTCCCCGTTATGGCTGGGAGGCCCGAGTAGGCAGCATTGATTTCTTCCCAACCACCTCTCACCCCTGCCTAAGCTTGCCTGCAACCCGACTAAGCCACCTTGCCGAAAGCGCAAAGCCTGATACCCCTGTCCTCCTAACAAGTGTAACGTGTCATCAGCCGCGGATTGCATAGTTTTTAAGCCCCGTCCTACCCCCTGCATACCCTTGCTGTCACCCTTCCTGGCTGATCATTGCCCGGCAAACCGCCAGCTTCCCTGGGAGACGCCGAGGCGGGTGATAGCCAGTTGCTCCACGGGTGTCTGGGCCGCGGTCCCACAACTGGGGCGCTGGATACCCTATGGTGTTCGCAGGCTGGGTGGGGCAGGGCTCTGGGGAAATGACCTTCCGAGTCCTCCGCGTTCCCGGTCACCAGGCAGCCTGTGGCCAGTGGAAATGTAGTTTGCAACTTTGGGCCCTATAATGGTGGCCACCGCTCCGTGTCCGAGGGTCGACTCTTGGAATCTCTGCAGGGTTTCGCGCTCCCTTGAAGGGTCGGCCTTGATATGCGACCTTGCGATCCTCCAGTCCACGTTGTACTCCACCTCAAGAAGTTGAAGCACCTCCTGCCATGATTGCTGCGACTGCGGTTTCTGTCCTCCAGAAACGCCCATGCATCTTCTCTTCCAGATGATCCACAGGACTAATGGGCGTAGCTTGGATGACAGCGACGCCTGGTAGGGTGACAGGCCCAGGGGGGGCTGCAGGCCCATCAGCAGAAGTTGCGGCTGGTCTGGGAAGGGCAATTTGTAACTGGAGCCAGAGGGCGCTTGCTGTGATCCAGAACAAGGATGCTTCCGGGCAGTGCAGAAAGCAATGCAATATGTCTTCCGCCGGAGCATCCTGACATGCAGAGCAGGAGTCGTCGAGGGGTCCCACGTTGTGCGGATCCCTACACTGCACTAACCACTGATTGACCGGAAGCGCCCACTGGAGGAGCAACGATTGCATGCTGCACACTCTAGTGTTTCGTATGGACAACACCATGTCCCACCGAAATCTGGCCGACAGCTCCAGCCCTGTTCGCCTGATCCACCGCTGTCTCACCAGGTCTGAGCTGTCCAGCTGTAAGCGGCGAAGACAATATTCACGACGTGTGGTGTACTGAAGGAGGCCAAAACGGCGAGAGGCTGCACCTGGACTCGCGGGCGGGAGTGTCCACACCCATTCCACTGGCTCTACTTCGAGATCCTGGATTGCTTTTGCTGGAGTGAAAACGGTGAAATCGCCGGTTTCCATGACAAGGATCTTGTGCAGGGCAGCCCCTGGACCGCTATGCGCCCCGCCGCGGGTTGGACAAGTCTGCTGATCGTGTGGCCTGGCTCTGCCAATTCATACATGTCGAACAAGAGCCAATCGCCCTTGCGGGCGTGGCGTTGCCACATAGGCCAGGGCGAATGATGGACACTCCTCACAGCACAACGTGGTCCAGTCACCCGGGGCCCAACCGGAGGGGGTGAGCAGCAGCTCTGCCCATCGTGTTGGAATGGATAGGAGGATGTTGTTGTAGTTCTCCTGCAGGTCGTGGCAGGCTTTCAGCGACTCCCGCAGTTCTGGATACGTCTTCCAGGTGCTTCGCTCATGGTTCCAAACGAATCCAAAGTTGCTCGACGTGCCAAACTCCCTTTTCCAGCCATGCCCCCCATCTGGTGTCGCTCGCTGTGAGGAACCAGGGTCTGTTGCAAGAGTCAGTGAGGTCCTGGTTGCAGAATAACGGCTGTCTGAGCACCTCTTCTCTTATTGATCGAACAAAGTTTATTCAATTCTTTGTGTGTATTCTTTTCATAGAAATACAATAATTTATTACATTGCTCCGGTATATAAAGAGAACCCAAACGTTATAGAGAAGAATCATTGGAACGATGTAAAAAGTCTGATTCTTTTTTCTTAGAGAAAATACCACCAATCTGATATTGAGCATTCTTGGCAAGGAAGGTTAATATAGCTAATGCCAGGGGCCCCGTATCTTGGCTGGTCTGACTTCCTGCCATATGTTGAGGATGCGGTGCCAGTACGCTTGCGGATTTCTGATGTTCACTGCTGTCCCCGGTGTCTTCTGTGGCCCATTTGGCAAGCTGACGGGTTCTCTTGAACCCCGATGGGTGCCACGGCAGTTCCAGCCGTGTCAGTAACTTCAAGAGGCACTTGGTCTGCAAGGCCTTGATTTGTTTTTCCGGATCAATTGGTTGGTCCTTTTTCCTTCTCTTTTCACCTGAAGAACATGGTGATGTCATCCAGCCATAGCGCCAATCGCTCTCAGGCACCAATTCTATCACTTGCTAGCTGTCAAACTGTCACTGGCGAAGATACTCGTGTTTCGTCTGGTGCTTTTTTCCCCCCCGTTTCGCCTTCACCATCGATCAATGAAAATCAATAATAATAATAATAATCAAACAATCCTACTAGAGCTTATCGGCCGCGGCACCGAGTCTCGCATCTGCAATGGTCCACGTTAGTGTTTCTGCATCGCGAAGCGTGAGACGTCCGATGTAAATTCTGACGCGCGATCGTTTGCATCGCGAAGTGTGAGACGTCTGGTGTAAAATTCTGATGCGCCTGATGCGGCACGCCTGACGCATCTGACGCGTTTGGCGTTTGTTTTTATCTCGGACGAGTCCGGTTTTGTTTCGTTTTTGCGTTCTCTTTTATGCTTTGGGCCTCGCTGCACTACTCTTGAAATACGGACAGATACACGGTCATGATTTTTGTTTTTTGTGGATGTC